TGTGCATTCTCTTTAGAGAACTTAGAGAAGACTTTAGAGAAGTCATTATCGGTAAACTATCTAGACTATCTATAGTTTAAGACTCCTTCTGTAGACTTTTAAAAAGATTATACATGCCTTAAAGTGGCAAATATCACATAAGGGAAAAGTAAATTTGCAAATTGAGTGAGAAAAACTCACTCTTCCTCCCTTACTTTCACACAGACCACTCTACTTCTGACTCTTCTGGTCACCAAAGGTGTGGGTTGGTTTTTTTTTTTTTCCTCCTACAACAAGCAATTCTCTGTGACACCAGCTGGGTGTCCTGCAATTCAAACTCTGTTCTCGCACTACCTGGAGACACAGCCAGATCCCACAGGTCGAAGGTTCAGCCCTACAAGCCTGCTGCCCTCTGTCCCCGATGCCAGTTGCAATTCCAGGTGGTCACCTGCGCACCTGACCACCGGCAGGCCATAAAGCAGAAGTTTATGGCCCATCACTTCCTCCTCAGTTTCAATTACTTCGTCAGAGTGGCTCACAGAACTCAAGGAAAGTTTACTTACTGTTTTTCAGTTTATTATAAAAGGCTATGTTAAGGATACTGATCACCATCCAAGATAGAAGGGATGTGAAGTGCAAGGTCGGTGGGAAGGGGCTGGGAGTTTCCCATGCCTCCTCTGGGTGCACCTCTCCCCTCACGCTTCTACATGCTCACAGACCCAGGAGCTTTGGGGATGTTTATGGAGGCGTCATCACACAGACATGCTCCATCGTTGAATCCATTTCCGGCCTCTCTCCCCTCCCCGGAGAAGGGGATGTGGGGCTGAAAATTCCAAGCTCCTCCTCATGGCTTGGTCTTTCTGGTGACCAGCACTCAGCCAGGAGCCACCAAGAGTCACGCATTAGAACAGAAGCCATCCCTGTCACCTGGGAAATCCTCAGAGGTTTAGGAATTCAGCATCAGGAACTGGAGTCAAAGGCCAAATATTAGAACAAAAGATGCTCCTGGTGCCTTTTATCACTTAGGAAATTACAAGGGTTTCAGGAGCTCTGTACCAGGAACCAGGGGCAGAGGGCAAAAAGACATTTTCTGTTATTTCACACAAATCAATTTGGTTTAATTATCTATCAGGAAGCATGATAATGTGTTTGGTTAAATATGGCTCCTTGGCTCGTCACTGACAGCGTGTGAAAGCTGGCTGACTGTGGGGTGCTACTTCGATGTTTTCAAACAACTCTACTGAGGTATAATATACATACCATAGAATCCACTTGTTTTTAAATTTTTTTATATGTTTACTTATTTTTGACAGAGACAGAGAGAGACAGAGTGTGAGTGAGGGAGGGTCAGAGAGAGAGGGAGACACAGAATCTGAAGCAGGCTCCAGGCTCTGAGCTGTCAGCACAGAGCCCGACGCGGGGCTGGAACCCACGAGCTATGAGATCATGACCTGAGCCGAAGCCGGATGCTTAACCAACTGAGCCACCCAGGTGCCCCTGAATCCACCTGTTTTTAAGTGTGCAACTGTTCCCATAATTTGGTTTCAGGATGCAGTTTTAACATGTAAAACTCATACACGTTAAAACAGAAAGCTCACCTTCCTTATTGGGCTGGATTAAGATCTTTTGGGGCTGTAAGCACCCAGCGGCATTTGCTTGTTCCTTGTTCTGATTCCCTCTTTCTTTCTCTTCCCCTCCCCTTACTTCCCTCTTTCTGTTTTTTCTTCTTCATGTGTTAGGCGCTCCAAGTAGAAGGTGAAAGATAATCCCTGCCCTCAGAGATCAGTAAGACAGTCATAAAATCCATGAAAGACATCATCACATTCTTTTGTGGAAGTGTCATCCCCTATAGAGGAGGTGTCCTTTGGATTATGGGGTCACATTGATCTCATCCCCACCCTGCGTTCTCAGAGATTCAAGGGCTCAGGCCAATAAACACTTGCTGGGTACCTGTGCTCAATGCTGTGGGTACAAAGATGAGTAAGAGCCTAGCTTGTCAGGATTTAAAGAGCTTTAGTTCCACCTCAGGTCACTAAGCTTCAGTCAATGTCACCGGTCTGACTGACTTTGTGACCCAGTCCTCATCTTTCGACCTTTGCCTGTGGGAAGTCCAGACCCATCTCTTTTGCTCTGTTTCGTTTTTTTCTTTTTAATTTTTTTAATGTTTTCATTTATTTCTAGGAGAGAGAGAGAGAGACAGCGTGAGCAGGGGAGGGTCAGAGAGAGAGGGAGTCACAGACTCTGAAACAGGCTCCAGGCTCTGAGCTGGCAGTCAGCACAGAGCCCGACGCGGGGCTCGAACCCACAAACCGCGAGATCATGACCTGAGCGAAAGTCGGACGCTTAACCGACTAAGCCACCCAGGCGCCCCTCTTGTGCTCTGTTGATAAGGGCCCACTGCCCGCCCTGTTCCCTCACTTCCTGTGGCGAGCTCCTCCAAGGGCACCTTCTCAGGGGGGGCCCTCCCTGGCCCGTGAACCAACCTTTTAGACCTCTTGCCGCCCAGAGACTTCGTCACCCCTTCTTCTGCTTGCTCTGCCCCCCTTTGCCTGTTCACCCTCCATCGTGCAATCTATTTTACTTATTTGTTAGACTGTTATGTTCTCTGCTTTCTCTATTCGAGTCCTATTCGAGTCTCTATTCGAGGGCAGGGATTTCGCTCTGTTTTCTGCTCTGTTCTGATCCTAGGCCAAACTCAAAGAACATTTGTCCAGTGGATTCATCAATATCTGATCTTTATCTTGCTGCCCAGGACGCGCGCCCATCCTGACCGGCCCTAGCGTATCGGTGTGGAATGTGAGGCCAGAGGCTTTGACCGCGCTGCCCGCCAGCCTGCAGCTCCGAACACCGCCCGGCCCGGCCTTACTGCAGGCTCTTCCGACGTGCCGTTGCCTGTCTCTCCCCTGACTCAAACGGTCGCTGCCCCCAACCAGTGTTAGCGCTGGCCTCTCCCAGTCTGCCCCAGTTAATTAGCCTTCTCTACGTGACAGCTTTACAAGACTGGACAGAAGGCAGAACACCCATGATGTCGTGTGAATGAAAATACCAGCCGGCGGGAACGAGTGAGTAAGGATGGAAGTGACCCCACACCACGCCGAGTGCTGGACTCCGCCCATGGAGTTGTTTTGAAAGCAGCTGAAAAAAAAAGAGTTCAAGTCTTTTAGAATAATTACGGGTCCCTGAAATTAGCTTCTTAAAAGTAGGCTTTAAAGTCACTCTTGTATATTCAAATTATTTATAGGCCCAACGTTCCTAGTAAAATTTTGGGGTGTGATAGCTTACCATCTTATTCCACGCACCTTGTCAACACCAGAGATTCAATACTCTCGTTAGTGTCGCATTGAAAAAAAAATGGTTTCTTTTTGTGCCCTGAAATTGACCGAAAAGAAAGACTCCTGAAGTCTTGTACTTCAAGAGTACCTGAGGCTTTTAAAGCCCACGTCTAGTTTTCACTCCTGCCAGGTGTACAGTGAGGAACTTCGGGGCACAAAGGGAAAAGGGATGGCCAAGTGAACACTTCAATTAGGAGAGAACTGACAGCCATCAGGCTATAAAGCTGTCCCTTGGTGACAGCTTTTTTCTGTATGTGCTTCGTGACAACACATTTGGAAAGACCATTAACAGGTTTTACTCGTGGAGCAAGGCAAGGAGGGTCCACTGAGTCCCTTTTGAGGTTTAGAAGGTCATACAGAGGCCCCCTCGCTGGTCCACAGCGGTTGCTTTCCTTTCTTGGCAGAAGCACTTCAATGAGCTATTGGGAAAGGTTAGAATGGGAGCGAGCTCTTTGCCCGTGGACAAGACAGGACAGAAAGACCGCTCCATCCCAACAGCGGGAAAGGCTGACTGCATATGCTCTGTTATTTGACTTGTGACAACGTGGTGCTGGTTGGCCAAGGCTTCTCCTTACCAGAGTCCTAGAGTAGAGTTGTGGATCTTCATTCTGCATAGAAATCCTTTAAAAAGAGAGCATGGATACCACCAGGCTCCGCCAGCGACACCCCCCAATTTTGCAGTCACAAGAGGCAAGAGATCAGGTGTTTACGTTTTCTTGGAGGAACTAGTCCATTCTAAGCACGTCCCCAAGGTGGGAGTTAGGTTTCAAGGTGGAGACTACAGTGGGCCGCGGTGGTTCCCACCTGCGGTACGACCCTCAGGGCGTGCCCCTCCCCCCTCCCTCCTCCCCGGACCTCTGCCAGGGAGCGAGGCGGTGGTGTGTAGGTTTATGGGGGGGAATCTATTCCGGCCTCTTTGGACGCGTCCTCCCCTCCACGAAAGCAGGAGCCCCCCCCGCCCCCCCCCCCCGCTTGGATTACGTGAACTTTTAGGGGCAGCCAAAAAGTATCTACGGTGACGCGGCTCCCCGGGGCAGTTTCTGGAAACGTGACGATACCAACTCCCTGGCTCGGGCCCCCGGTCGCCAGTGCCACAGCGGTCCCCGTCAGCCTCTGCTCCCACCCCGGCTCTGCCTTGGAGCCCGCCGGCCGAGCGCGGCCTCTTCACACCTGATCGCCGCCCAGGTCCCACCCGTGCGCGGCGGGAAGACACCTCCGAGGTCCCGGCCGAGGGAGCGCGCGAGCCAGGGTGGGCGGCTCTGCGCCCCGGGGTGTCGGTGTGCGAGGCGGGACTGACAGACGCGCGTCCCGGACCCGCCGCCGCGGGGACGGGGCGGGGGGGGGGGGGCCGAGGTGTCGGAGGAGGTGGAGCCGCCGGGGAGGGGCGGTGCCGCGGGGAGCGGAGCCCGGCATCCCGCCCCCACCCCCTTCGGTGCCTTAGTCTGGGCGGTGACACAAAAAGCTCCCGCTCGGAGCCGAGCGCCTTGCGGCGGAGTCCTCCCCGGAGCACCGAGGGCGGCGGGCAGGTGGGGCGCCTCCCGCAGGGCCGAGCCGGGAGCCGGGGCTGCGGGCGCCGACGCCACGCTCCCCGCGCCCGCCCCGCAGCCCGCTGCGCGCGTCTGGCGGAGCGGGTGGCGGGCGCGCCGGGACCACCCCGCGATGCTGCCGCCGCCGCCGCCGCCGCCGCCTCTGTTGGGAGCGCCCGAGCCCGCTGCGGAGAGAGGTCGGTGACTTTCGGTTTGTTTCTCTGCTCCGGCCCTCCCGGGTCGGGGGGCGGCGAGAGGGGCGCGAAGGGATGGATGTCTTCGCCCCCGCGGCGGCCGCGGCCGCAGCCAGGGAAGCGGGGAAGGGGTGCCGCCGCCCCGAGTATCGGGGGGCGCCTTTTGGACAGTGGATGGGGGAGGCGGGCCCCAGGGGTCCCGGGGAGGGGAGCGCCGGCAGCGGCGGGGCAGCCCCCGGGCGCCGGGGAGGGGGGGTGTCCCCGGAGTTGCGTGTCTCCGGAGCGCTGGCGGAGTTGGGCTGGCGGCCGGGGCGGGGGAGCGGCGCTGTCGGCGCCTCGGCCGAGTCCTCGGATGCCCCCTGGAGCTCCGGTCCGAGGGAGCGCGTCTCGTGCCCGCGCAGCGCGCGCCCCTGAGGGTGCACGTGCGCGCGCGCCCCAGCGGCGCCCCCACCCCGCACGCACCCCGGGACGGTCCCCTAGCGAGCCCCCGGTCGAGCGCCTTCCCCCCGCCCCCCAAGAAGTTGCCCTGGCGCGCCGCTCCGCGGCCCCGGGGCCCCTCTCGGGAGGAGAGCGAGCGGTGGCGGGCCAGATGTTGGGGGTCTTTTGTGCGGACCCACGTGCCTGGGGTTCTTGCTCCTGGAACGCCAGCGGCAGGACAAAGCAGGCTGGACGCGTGGGACGCTGCACGCGAGGCGGCCGTCCCCGAGCCCGCCTAGGGTGGGGGTGGGGCGGGGGGAGCGCCGCACGGTTTTGGAAAGAGTAGAGAAATCGGCAAAACAGAGTGACAGTGACTTGATGAGGTGGCGGACGGGGGCGACGGAAGGGATGCTTGCGAATGCAGCGCCGCCGTGTGTGTCTGGGCGAGTGACCCGGCGCCCCGCATCCCCATATAACCTGGTTTACTAGTATATTTTCCTAGTGTGGGTTTGCCCCAAGATGTTATTCTACGCCTTCTCGTCTTTCTTTCCGTTTGAGGGGTTACAGTTGCTGGTAGAAGCTCTACCACCCGGGAACTTGGGGGCGGGGGAGACTGCAGCGGAGTGGGGGGAGGGGGGTATTTATCCTATGGAGACAATTAGGGAGCGTTACGCCCCCTCGGCGGCTGGCGGGCGCCCCACACCTCCGCCGCCTTCCTCTGCCTCCCGGTGCACCCACTCCACCGCCGCTGGCCGGGGAGGGTGCTTGGATTTCTTTCTCTGCTGCGCGTATCTAACCCTTACTGCATGTATTTCACTGCAGGCTGAACAAAGCTCGGGCTCAATTGTGCTTCCTGCTTGTCAGCCCTTGCCTCCCGAGCGCGTACCATTTCCACTTGATGTCATCACGCAGAAGGGGGTGAAAGGGACTCGGTGACAGCTGCAGGTAACCCCCAGTAGTCTGGGTCTCCGCCTGGGTGTCTCTGGGTCATTTGGGCCAGCAGTGATTGCATGGGGCTGTTTGGGTGGTTTCTGCATCCATTCCTTTCCTGTTTGTGTGCAGGAGCCTCGGGGGCTGCTGAAACTCCCGCTCCCGAGAAGGAAATTGCAAATGACTTTAAACGTTCCTTTTGAAGAAGTCAATGAGGGCAGGGTGCGTTTGAGGGTGAATAAATTACACCGGGTTTCTGCTGATGGGAATTTTGATATAATCAATACATAGGCAATTGTATCTGAATGTGGGGTTTGGATGTATGCCTGCTTTCTTATCTGTAGTGATTCGTTATGGATATCGCTTGTTGAAGAGGGATCGCTGTTCAGGCTGATTATAAATTTGACCAGTGCTCAATTAGGGCATTGGTCAAATGTAGTAACCTTCTTATGAAATAACGTCTCTCCTCCAGACCTTCATTGTAATAGTGTTTGCAATATCAGGAGGGACATGCCAGCAGTAAGTTACTGGGAGGTGGAAGGGAGGGCAGCTGGGAGAGCAGAAAGAGAACAGAGAAGCAGGAGCTTTAGTTAAGTTTCCATTTCCATAGCCATAAACCATTAGGCTCTCAGTCTGCATTTTATCTTTCGGTTGTTGGTTGATTCTTTTCCAAAAACTCTGGCCTCTACCTTTCTTTCCAAGGATAGTTCTGCTTTGATGTCAAGCTGACGAAATCTGGGGTTATCTCGATAGAGCTCAATGAAAACGTAACCTTCAGACACACCAGGACACCTTGGCCTTGGCATTGTCTCCTAGAGGGCAGAGCCCTGGCATCCTGCACAGAAAGCAGAGGTTAGGAATGGTGATGGGGGTGGACTCAAGGTTTCTTTCGCTGGGAGAAGGGATTGCGGAGGGCCACAGGCTTCTGTGCTCTGTCTTGCTCTGCAGACACAGCAGTGCCGTGGCTGTGGCAGACTCTCCCGTCACCATTTCCGCCCCCAAAGCCACTGAAAGGCAACATTTACAAACTTGAAAGATTTGTCATTCACCTCGAGGGTGGTTGCGTTTTGAAAGGTGACTTTAAAAAACGACAACACAGAAGTGACACTGGCATTTATCCTTATACTCAGAGCATCCAGAAATCACTGGGGGAGGTGAGGGAGTTATCTATCTGGTCTCAGCTAGAACAAAGGCCACCGCTTTGGGAAGATCGGATTCGTAATGCTGTTAGGATAGAGGTACTTTGACAAGTAATTTTAATGTCAGCAATAATGCAGGGTGTGTGCTGTGTTCCTGCAAGAGGAAAAGCCACGTGATGGGATAATAGGGATTGTTAATAATGCAATAGAAACAAAAGGGTGTGGTTTTTTTTTTAATAGAAAAAATAAATACCTCACACACAAAATTCCACATGGGAAAACAGCTGCCTGCACATGTAAACGCACGTCCAAGAACAAAGATAGCCATAGTGCGGTGTTAGGTTTCCTGTGGTTTTAAGCTGTGTGCAGTCATAAATCATAATAAAGTAGTGTATTGATGCTTGTTTTGTTTTGTTTTTTAGGTGGAGGTTCCCCGCCCCCAGATGTCTGCAGTAATGTGTTTAGCTGTAGGTTGGGGGAGCCCCAGAAGGTTATTAGACCCACCTTTGCGTCCAGTGCCCAAGTCCTTTCTACAGTGTTCATTTAATTCATTCAGCAGATGTTTATCAAGCGCCTGATAGATCGTAGACTGTGAAAAATGCCAAGGAGGGGGTGTCTGGAGACATAAAAATGAACCACCTTCAGGGAGCTTATTAGAGACCTGATTCTAATTAAATTCAAAGGAAGCTAGAGAGAGAAGAACAAAGGGTGGCATTGGACTGCTGAGGGAGGAGCATATGATCATTGAATGCCTCTTTCACTGGGGAGATCACTACTTCATAAGTACTAGACCTGTTGTCTGAAGGTGACCTTTTTTTCTTCAGCTAAATTCCACATGAGTGTTTAGATTTCACCATTGTTGAAAGGCCATTCTGTTTCATTCTCTCTTCCCTCAGAGTTGCTTGAAGCGGTCTATCCTGTCTGCACCCTCTACTTTTCAAAGAATTACTTGACTTTGGAAACAAACTCTGCTTATTTGTATTATCTGATTTAGGAGACAGTTTGGGAAGGGGAGGACTTTGTCAGGTTCTGTCTTTTATAAACAGCGACGTATCGGCAATATAGGTTGCGTTATGTTCCAGTGAGAAATCACCTCCAAATCTCAGTGGCTACACACAGATTCTTTCTTTCCCACACTGTGTGGCCTGCGTGGTCAGCAGGTGGGCCCTGCTCATCGTAGGCACTCGAGGACCCAAATTGATGGAGGTGTGATCTTGAGTGTGCGTAGGAGGTCACTGCAGTGTCGGAAAGGAAACTCTAGAGGATCTTGCTGTATTTGTGACGTGATCGGACCCACAAGGGACTCATGTTCCTTTGGCCACAACTAGTCCTATGACACCTTTCAAACCCCAGTTCAATATTTCTTGTCCGGAAAAAGGGAGAACTGGATATTGGTGAGCACCACTCATGACCTCCACAGGTGGTTTGGCCTAGATGAGGTTATGAAGTGTGTCCCGCGGGGCCAGCTCATGCTTCGTAGACACTGGCTGTTCACGAGCTCCAGGGCAGTGAATGAATGATAAATATCTTAGGGAGTCTGGTTCTACCCCAACATGCTATTTACTGATATGTTGGTGTTATACTTACTAACATGATTGCCCACGGATCATCAAATAAAAAATTACAATGTTCTCACTTTTTGCCTGTTTTGAGTAGTTGTTTATTCTGAAGCTATAGGCCGGGAGGTGCTTCCAGGGCTTGATCTAGGAGGTTCTGTGCTTAGCATTATGTAATAGAGAGCTGTTACTTACAGACTTTGTCTCCTTCACCATCTGCCTCTTGTCTAAGACTTACTGAGATTGTCTGGAATAGCCTGGGATAGAGAAGGAGTGGCCGTGGGCCTAATAAGGGCCACAGCTAAGATATGGGGGGGGGGGAGGGCAGGAATGTGTGTAGGGTGGCCTTGGGTCACCCCCTTGTTACTCTGACATTCAGAAAAAGCACTTTGGACATGCGCCATTTTCTGGTCACGGGACCAGCAGAACACCGGGTGAGTTCTAGAACATTCGTGCTTCCATCAGCAACCATGTTGACAATGTTGACAACGAAGGTGGTCAGTTTTTTTTTTTTATGTTTTATCTATTTCTAGGAGAGCGAGAGAGACAGCGTGAGCAGGGGAGGGTCAGAGAGAGGGAGTCACAGACTCTGAAACAGGCTCCAGGCTCTGAGCTGGCAGTCCGCACAGAGCCCGATGCGGGGCTCGAACCCACGAACCGCAAGATCATGACCCAAGCGAAAGTCGGACGCTTAACCGAGTAAGCCACCCAGGCGCCCCAAAGGTGGTCAGTTTTAACGCCTTCCTTGCCTCAGTGTCCCTGAAAATAGTTGGGTGCTGAGGGGGCAGGCATTGCAAGGGGCTGTGGATTAAGCAGTTGGTGTCTGGCAGAGAGATTTTGCCTTAGGAAGCGTCGGTTCCTCAAATACCTTTGTTCGTGTTGTGATACACGCGTGCATGGATTAGAATTTTTAGGATTTGATGAGTACCTCCAGCATAAGCGTGGAATTTAACAAAATAGTATTGCTTCGGCTCCGTAATCACCTTGCTGAAGTCATTTCTGTAGAGACGGCTCTCCTCAGACAGGCGGTGGGGTACGACGGCTGCTGGCCCCTGAGCCGCAGAGGCTGGAGGCCATCAGCCTTAGCCTCACAACGCGGAGGCTGCCCTCTGCTTCCCTGCAGTGACAAAATACTGCGCCCAAACGGAGGGAAGGTGGGAAACGAGGGGCTGAGAAACCAGCAGAGAGAACCAAATGTAACCCATCCGGGACCCCCAGGAAGCAACTCGGGGTGGATCGGGGCTGGGCTGAGGGCGAGGCCCGGGCCCAGCAGCAGGGAAAAGGAGGCCCCGAGGGGGCTAGGCTCGAAATAGATTTGGGAAGCTCCGCAATACGCTCCTGTATTTTGTTTGGCCTCTGGAGCGCCCACCGCTTGAAGGGCACGACTTTAATTGCCCGTGCAGGTGGCGGACACTTGCGGAGCGAACGCGGTGCCCGGGTTGCCCGGGCCCTACGTGCTGTGGCCGGAGGAAGCGCGAGGGAGGAAGGCGGTGGTCTTCCTGCCCCTCCCCCTTCTGGCCTCGTGAGCTGCGAGGTGTTCCCGGAGCCTGTCTCAGCGCTTGAAATCCCCGTTTGGATAAAATAAGTACTTGTCTTATGTTTAAGGATTTTTTTTTTTTTTTTTTTGTCCTGGATGACCTACTGTCATTGTAGACGTGAGGCCAGCAGTGTGCATGTGACTCGTTTCTCCTCTGGGTGGTCGTCAAGGCCTGTGGTTTTTCTGGCCCCGACCCTGTCTGGCTGCTGAGGCTTGGAGTGGGTTTTTTGTAGACTCGTAGGGGTGGGGGGATCTCCTTGCGATCTGCTGGGAGTGGGGAGCATGAATATGGGATGCCTTCGTTACCACCGGATTTATTCATTCCTGCGTACGTAACACTCACTGCAAACACCTCGCCGGGTAAAAGTTATTCTGACGTCACACAGGCTTCCTGGGCTATCACACTGCTCGCGGGGTAGGTATTGATCGAATGCAGACGAGCTGCTGGTCGAGGCAAAGTCATGATGAGGTGGAATCTTGGACTGCCATGTTCTGTGCTCGTGTTTTCTTTCTACTCCCCCCCAGCTACCTCCCAAGGAAATGTAACCCTCCTGACTCACTTTCCATTTATAAACCCAGACAAGCACACTTAATACACTCCTCTCTGAGGTTCTAGCAGCACTGATAAGGTTCTGGCAAAAGTTTGGACAGATAGGTGTGAAAATCCGGAGCATTCTTATTAATGTTGGAGTTCTGCTGATTAACCGATGAACTTAGATGTCTCCTTAGTGACAGTGCCCCGGTCTCCCTTAATTTCTGTTCCCACCGCCATATCCCAGATGG